AAGTAAAAATGGATAGTGGCTAGTAGTGGAATCCAGGATGCGTGTTTCGTCCTATTTGGGACTCGTCAGCTGGATGTACCTGTATCTCAGAGTTGATGTTCACTCTGGGACTCGAACCCACTACCTTTCACCTCAAACGCCATCGCATTATCCACTCAGCTACTCAGTCCTGATAGTCACTTGCTTGAGAAATGGGGTGAAGCTTAAATTCACACTGAGTGGATAACGCGAAGGGATTTGAAGCGAAAGGTACTGGGTTCGAGTCTCAGAGTGAACATCAACTCAGATACCAATTAGTTAGTAACTAACGAAAATATACCACGAAATAATTGAACATCACATAGTTATTAAATATAAACCTGTATTATTATTATTATTGCCATCGTATTTTCAAAAGACTGATGTTGTATGCACATATCCATATTTTAGCAAATGACTTAGTACTATAGGATCATATTGAAAGTATATCACTTATTTTTTTATAATCTAAAAGTTGCCTTCATTAATGTTAATTAGATAAAAGATGATTTCAATAACAGAACAACACAAAAACGTAACATCAGATAGTTCAGTATCTAAAATAGCATAGATGATCATACGATTTTAGAATACATGGACTTAGATAAGAATGGAATCCACTGAATGAATTTATTTCTATCTCACAATTATCAAATACATTCACCTTCATTTATACAGTCATTTTCATATTCAAACAAAAAAACCCCCATCATATCGACTTATAACACCAGTATATTATCTACTCAAATACTGATTCCATGTGGTCATCAACTTGTCAAACAAAAATAACAAGATTATATGTCCGAAAAAAAAGACAAAACATTAATAGTTGAAATCATGAGTCAATTGAAGCTAGACCACCATGGAAAGCCTGGAAGCATTGGATGGCCGTTTCATCCTATTGTGGGACTCATTAGCAATGCGCATCAACTATCCTGCCTCGCAGGATTTGAGGAGTCCCACAATAAAAAGAAATGGCCATTCAGTGCTTCCAAGTTATCTATGGTGATCCAGCTTCAATTGACTCATGAATTCAACTATAAAATTATTGAAATCTCCACAAAAACTTCTTCTGAAAATATGCTCATATTCACTAGTGAATTCAAAATAATAACAAAATGATTCAGGTTTTATTCATGTTCTTCAATATATTTTATAATCTGTAAACAGTATATTTCAATATATTTTAATCTCAATGACTATGAAACTACTAAAATCTCCACAAAACCCCTTCTGATTATAATCATATACTCGCTAGTGACTGACTTCAAGAGATATTTCCTGGAGTCCTAGTGAGAAGCCGTGACCAGTGGAGTTCAACCGGGTCTGTTGTGAGATAATAACTCACTGAAGACAATGGTGGACGTTTGTTCAGTTTCGTGAATTAGTTAAAGTTAGACATTAACACCATTGGGTGCCGGCTCGGTGGACTAGATGTTAAGCGCTTTCGTGCATGACTGATAGGTCCTGGGTTCGAAACTCGCTCGCGAGGCGGGATCGTAGATGCGCACTGCTGAGGAGTCCCACAATAAGCATATTTGTAAAAATGTTGGTTATGTATTCAAAAATCTGTTTTCATTTTATCCAAAGACATGTAATGGAATTTTGAATCAAATTTGTTCCTGATTATTAACAACTGCAAAGCAAAAACTATTACAAATAAATATCGTAAAAAATATACAGTTCATCGATCAATGAGTAGTGGTCGATGTCATGTTTGTCTAGTCCTTTGGTCCTGATTACTTCCAGCTACGTAATTCCTTATTGTGGTAACGTAATGTAGAGTTAAACAGACGGTTTGTCCAACTACATCACCGTAGATAGAATTCTATCAGCTCTCAAGATAGACAGACGTGACACTTTTCATTGTTCACTGATCAGTGAAATATCAATTACCCTAAAATCTCTTGTTCGCCTTTCTGATACGTGTCAAGTAACATAGAGCTTCAATCTAGAGTTTTCAACTATCTATCTTAAACCATCTGGATTATTAAACATCATACTCGTTAGACGTTTTGATAGATATCTTAACATAGTATTTTAACAACTAATAAGATGAATTTTGAAGGGTTGGCCATCAGAATTGACCATCAGTTTCAATATCAACACTATGATAAAGATACAATCAGTTAACGAGTTACAACTAGAATTAAACACACTTTATAGATTTCATTGTTACTCACTATCCTTATTTAACCTTATTTATACAAATGTGTAAATTCTTTTATGATATCTCAATTTCATCAGATCATTATTCAATATATCACAAATATGCATGAATAGACTATAGTAGAGGTATGCCTGAATAAGTAAATAATACTGATTTCTTCTTTCAACTTTTAAAGTTCAATGTCTTATTCTAATCAGTCAGTCAGTTAGTTAGATGTAATATAGAATGTAATAAACATATGCATCAACCCAAGCGGCTACACTACATTAGTACAATGAGACAAAATTATCATAGCAAATAATATGGTAGTATTAGTATTAGTATTATTGTGTGGACGGGACAACACTATGTAGGCTTCTTCAACACTATGGCGTCCCTGAGAAGATAGTCAACATCATACGGAACTCCTATGATGGACTAAACTGTCAAATCGTCCACGGAGGACAACTCACCGACTCATTCGAGGTACAGACCGGTGTTAGGCAAAGTTGCTTACTCTCACCCTTTCTCTTTCTCCTGGTGATCGACTGGATCATGAAGACGTCAACATCTGGAGGAAAGCATGGGATACAGTGGACAGGTAGGATGCAGCTTGACGACTTAAACTTCTCAGATGACCTGGCTTTTATATCACAAACACAACAACAAATGCAGGAGAAAACGACCAGTGTAGCAGCAGTAGGTCTCAATATAAACAAAAGGGAAAAGCAAGACTCTCCGATACAATACAACATGTACCAATCGAATTACACTTGACGGAGAAGCTTCGAAGAATGTGGAAACCTTTACATATCTGGTTAGCATCTTTGATGAACACGGTGGATCTGATGCAGATGTGATGGCGAGAATCGGCAAACCAAGAGCAGCATATTTAAAATTGAAGAACATCTGGAACTCAAAACAATTGTCAACCAACACCAAGATCAAAATTTTCAATACAAATGTGAAGACAGTTCTACTGTATGAGGCGGAGACGTGGAGAACTACGAAAGCCATTATCCAGAAGATACAAGTGTTTATTAACAGTTGTCTACGCAAGATACTTCGGATCCAATGGCCAGACGCTATCAGCAACAAGCTACCGTGGGAAAGAACAAACCAGATTCCAGCAGAGGAAGAAATCAGGAAGAAGCGCTGGAAGTGGATAGGATACACACTGAGGAAATCATCCGATTGCATCACAAGACAAGCCCTCACACGGAATCCTGAAGGCCGAAGGAGAGATGAAGACCAAAGAACACATTACGACGAGAAACAGAGACAAACATGAGGAGAATGAACAAGGATTGGGTAGAACTAGAAAGGAAGGCCCAGGACAGAGTGGGCTGGAGAATGCTGGTCGGCGGCCTATGCTCCATTGGGAGCAACAGGCGTAAGTAAGTAAGTTTTAGTATTATTAGTGGTGATTGTAGAAAGGATTACTTATAAAAGGAAAAAGTAAAATATATAAAGAGATTTGGGGACTGAAGTTCAAAGAGCACATGCACCATTGTGAGCAATTCTAGTCTCGACTATGGTGCAGACCTCAATCAGATAGTGTACAACTTACTCACATGACTCATTAACTGATAGAACGAATATGATGATTCATTTAAATTGACTAGATTTAAAAAATAATTATAATGATCATTTTTAATATGTAAAGTCATTTTTCATCATGAATTGAATTCCACCAGTTGTGTTCTGTTAAAACTCAAAGAGCATTGCATGAAGAATTCCTTTCTCGAATCTCGAACTCTTCAGAATAATGATCATCTATCAGTTAAAGTTATCGAATTCCTCAATCGTTACTCAAAGATCTAAATCACTGATGCAAAGTAATACACATCACTCTGAAAATAAACATCAATAATGATATTAATAATCAACTTAGTACTGTTTGTCTGAATCTTCTCATTGATGTTTAGGACTGGAACTGGTCAGTCTCTTATTGGCATATGTGTATACTGTGCGTGTTGCCTCAATATAACCTTAATCCACAAGCATTGTAAGCAAAGATGGATAATGGCTAGCAGTGGAATCCAGAAATCGCGTTTCGTACTATTTGGGACTCGTCAGCTGTGATGTACCTGCATCTCAGAGTTCACTCTGGGACTCGAACACACTGCCTTTCACTTCAAATGCCATCGCATTATCCACTTAGCTACTGAGTCCTGATAGTCACTTGCTTGTGCAATGGGGTGAAGTTTGAATTCAAACAAATAATAACAAATTGAATATAGCTAAAATGACTAGTCAAGTTAAAGTAAATATTAGAAAGCAGGCTTTGTGAAAATTGTAGTAATTTAATAATCAAATTATTGAGTCAATAGAAGCTAGACCATTATGGAAAACTTGGAAGCACTCGTAAGAAGTCCCATACTAAGACGAAACAACCGTCCAGTGCTTCCAGGTTATCCATGTTGGTCCAGCTTCAATTGACTCACGATTTCAACTATGAAAATACTGAAATCTCAACAAAACCCCTTCTGAAATTGATATTAGTTCAAAAAAATTGCGGAGAATTTAAGAAAATCGATTAATTGTATCTGATATGATTTATTTAAGCTTTTTAAGTTATAAGATCTTATAACAACTTACTATAGTACTGAAACATAGAAATAAATAGTACGTTTCCACTATTATTCAAGGTTAAAGTTGAAGGTGTTACCATGTTAAATACTATAATATAATTTCAACCAATCAAAAAAGAGAAAACTCATAAACAAAAATCCAGGTATTTAATTTAGCGCCAATCATTGTTTTTAAACAATATTTTTAAATATTATTTGACCTTGACAGCTTATTCTAAACAATGACCACTCATATAATATCCGAATACATTTTTTTTAGCCAATGAATATTTTCATTTTCAAGTATATAAATGATCTGAGCACATAAGGAAAACAATATAGATCAAGAGGAACGAACTATCTAGTTGAATCAAATAAACCAGCTTAAACAATGACTGGATCCAATTCATCAAAAACTACCAAAGTATTAAGAAAGGTGTTAATTCCATTAGATAATAGTAATGAATCAAAGAAAGCATTAAATTGGTATAAAGAAAATATGAAACGTGATGGTGATTTGGTTATATTCGTTCATGTCATTGATCCTATTCTACCATCAGCTTTGTCTGCATTATCACATGAATGTGAATCAATGCCAGCTGGTTCATCATTTCATGTACCAGAAGAAAGTATGAAAAGTGCTAAAATTCTATGTCAAGAAATGGTAAATGAAGCTACTAAATATGGAATCAAATCTGAAGCTGTTATACAAATTGATAATAAAGCTGGTCCAGCATTGGTTAAAACAATAAACGAGAGAAAGATTAATGTTGTTGTCATGTCAAAACGTGGTTTAGGATTTTGGAAACTTAATTTCACACCAAGTGTTACATCATATGTTCTACATCATTCAAATATTCCAGTATCTATAATACCACCATCGAATCGTTAGTTCTCATTGTATATGATATGATGTCAACAACTGATTGCATCATTTCATTTGATGATTTGAATTGTCTCATTATTTGTAAATACTGGCCATAATAAAGCTTTTCATTTCGCTACAGAAAATGACAAATTTATTGTATTTATTCGTTTATTATTTTATTATTCTATATTACTGTTAATGAATTAACTTACTTTGCATTAAATTATTTAATTGAAAGATAATTTAACTTGTTTTGAGTAAATATTTCGAGTGATTCAGTCGTTTTTGGTTGTTAGTCAGCCAGTCAGTCAGCTACAACGTAGGATCAGGCACATATATGCATCTTGATGTAGGTTTGTTCTCTGAGCTGGATAGTTTGGTCGTGGAGCTTTCATCATCCTTCTGAACGACATCATCAGCACAAACTTCGGGTAGACTTCTACCGATAAATGCTCCATGACCAGACCATCCAGCTCAGAGAACAAACCTACATCAAAATCATCCACCTAAGCTACAAATCTTCTCCACATATATGCATCAGTCCAAGTTGCCATACCTCGTAAGCACAACAAGATGAACACTGTTTTTGGTTGAGTTGTATTGTGTATAAGATGTGAATTTGACATAACTTAGCAATGAGAGAAATGTATCATATTTTGTTTATGTAATCATTAGATCTTATTTATCATTTTGTGAAAGTTTAAGTTGAGATAAGTGAGTGATCTCCGATTGTAATTAAATATCTAAAAGGTATAGGTTGTTTAAATCTCCGCCATCTTACTACATCCGTTAATTCTGGCAATATGTGAAATGATATAAATAGTGGAACAAACATTGTAAGCAAAGATGGCTAGCAGTGGAATCACGAACATGCGTTTCGTCCTATTTGGAGCTCGTCGGCTGGATATACCAACATCTCAGAGTTCACTTTGGGACTGGAACACACTAACTTTCACTTAAAACGCCATCGCGTTATCCACTCAGCTAATGAGTCCTGATAGACACTTGCTCATGCAATGGAGTGAAGTTTAAATTCATTTAGTATTGTTTGTTCGAATCCTCTCAAATAAGACGAAACGGGCTTCCTGGATTCCACTGCTAGTCACTATCCATCTTTGCTTATAATGTTTGTGGATTAAGGCTATATCGAGGCAATATGCACAGTATGCACATATGTCAATAAGAGACTGATCAATTGCAGTCCTAAACATCAATGAGAAGATTCAAACAAGTAATATTAAGTGAAGTGAAACAAACAGTTTAAGTTTATTGTGCTAAGATGTTTACTGAATGAATCTTTCATGATAAGACTAGATAAAACGTAACCTAGAAACTTGTAAATAAACAAGATTTAGTCAAAACAGTTTATCTAACATAAGTATCACTTAATAGATTATAGTTTATTTCATTTTTAGGGTTATTTCTATTCTGTATTGAGTTTATGACATATGTAATTCATCACTATAATAGTTTATTAATAAGCCAATTTGTAACGATTTACATCATACATTCAATATCATGAGGCAATTACAACTCTGAGTACTTTTGTATTTCTATTACAAATTAATCCTTGTTAAAAAGTCGGTGGCATTAGATCTGTACTAAAAAAGACTTGACATACATGACATTGATCACTACCCAGTGATCAATCAACTGTGATTACATCTCAGTCCTACAGGAAGTCGGTCGCGGCCCAGATAGGTCAGTGGTAATGTCTCTGACTGTGAAGCTGGGTGACACGAGATTGAGTCCATCAGGGAGCACCAGTTCCCTCAAGATTACAGGTACACCTTACTGACGAGTGCCAAGTAGTACGAAACCTGGATACAGGGTTTCCTGTTGACTACCTCCAACCATCATCTTAAAGTCAAACTTTATATATCAAATAATTAATTGAATGTATGAGTTAATTATATTTTGTATAATGGCTAACAGTGAAATTCAGGCTGGCACATTTTATCAGATTCAAGATTGAACAGCCGAATGCATCAGCCTACAAGTGTTAATCTTCAAGATGAAGTTGAAACAGAGCATCCATTACTTTAGATATTAACTCATTACTCTTTAGTATTCTGAATCATCACACCTTTATCAATGGACAAGAAATAGAATATTTTCCAGTTGTTTTTATTCCGAAGTGGATTGATCGGTCATTTATAATTATATGAATCACTTAAAACTTGGAATGTGTAATACTCTTACGTTTACTGAGACAATGGATTCGTTTTCATCTTAACAAAAGAAAAGTTAATCCTTATAAATTATGTATATGAAATTTTACATAAGAAACATTATGTCTGATCATTATTATCACAGTTAAAATCATGAATCAATTGAAGCTAGACCACCATGAGAAACCTGGAATCATTGAACGGCCGTTTTGTCTTATTATAGGACTCCTCAGCGGTGCACATACACGATCCCACCTCACGAGATTCGAACCTAGGACCTACCAGTCTCGCGCAAAAGCGCTTAACCAATAGACCACTAAGCTGGCATCTGATGGTGTTAATGTCTAAATTCAACCAATGCATGAAGTCGAGCAACCGTTGACCAATTGTCTTCAGTGAGTTACTATCTCACAACAGACCTGGTTGAACTCCACTGGTCACTGCTTCTCACTAGAACTCCTGGATTTACCTCTCGAAGTCAGTCACCAGCATATGATTATTATTATCAGAAGGGGTTTTGTGGAGATTTCAGTATTTTCATAGTTGAATTTATGAGTCAACTGAAGCTGGATCACCATGGAAAACCTGGAAGCACTGGACGGTCATTTCGTCCTATTGTGGCACTCCTCAAATCTTGCCAGGCGGGATCGTTGATGCGCACTTCTAAAGAGTCCCACGATAGGACGAAACGGCCGTCCAATGCTTTCAGGTTACCCATGGCGGTCTAGCTTCAATTGACTCATGAATTCAACTATGAAAATACTGTAATATCCACAAAACCCCTTCTGATAATTATTAATCAATTAATTCTGATCGTCTTCAACAATGTACTGTCCAATTTAAAGATGACAATAAGTTCAAAGGAAATTTGTAGTATGTTTATTCATTTTACAATCTTACTTAGTAACTATTATGTCATCAGCCTAGAGTTCTGACATTAATAGTCTGAAATGAACTGAGCTTAGAATCATTATGCAACTAAGTGTTGGACTTAATTTAATAGGTTGCAATGATTTTTTACTTAATTATATACAAACTATGAGTAAATTCATACAGTTCGAACAGTTAGACGAACACAGAGTCCTTTCATAATGAGAATATGATACAGTAAAACAGTTGAAATACATAACTTTTGACAATTCACAATGATGTTTTGAATGATCGAGATGGAAATGAGACAAATCTAATCCCACAACTGAAAAGTATATTGAATAGGTTGAGATTAGCGCATCATAAATTTTATAAAATAAAGTTGAAGAAACTATAAATGAAACATCGTTTACGGATTCGAATTTAAAATTTATATCCTACGTTTACATGTCACTGTTGAAGACATCATTAAACAAATACAACCTGAGAACTGTTTCCTATATACCATCAAGTGTATCTTTATCAAATATTTTCTGATATGATCTGAAGTATGATTCGATCTTCAACTACTACCCATTTCATTAAACCGATTCACTTAGTCTAAAGTCAGAAAATTTACGTGTGAAATGTTATGTTGAACTGAAATTGATATTAGATAAATATTTGTTGGAATTTACTAATTCATATTAATGAGATTATGAATACCTTCAATATATGATGGTTCACATTCATCATATCGGAAGTTTTATTGTTTCATTTCTAATTTTATCACTTTCACTTACTATTACATGATGACACCCACTCATAAAATGACCAGTCCCCTATGCTTGACTCATTGATTTAAACAAATTGTGTTTTGATGGGTGTAAATACAAACAATAATGATTAGTTGGTGAGAGGTAGAGAAGAGGAAAATTGTGGATTTAGTTTTCGTGTCATTTGATTCTCATCAGCAATGACCATCTATAGTATTGATTAAACTGGTGCCTACTCATGAATCCCATTGTTTGTCATCCAGATTCACTACTCGATATAGTCAAAATCATATATTTGACGTAATTACATAGGTATGAGAAACATGGTTGTTTGGATATATTTTGCATCATGGACTGACAATCATGATGATCAGTGAGTACTGAATATGTAATTCGGTCTAGTACAAAATTTTGCAACAGAGTAAATCCATAACCTAATCAGAGATTGGTTATAGTAAACGTATTACTTTAACCCAAGGGAACTTTCAAGGATGCTTTGAACAATAAACATACAAATGGAAATGTGCTACAACCTGAGCATATATTGATAAGAATCAGATTAATGTAGAACAAGTTCTAAAAAGATAAGTTTCTGAATATCTTGTTTCATGTTTTTCTTTTACTAGATAGACTATGTATTTAATTACACAGTTGATCTGTCAATGAAATATGTAGTGAGTCTATCTTATTAGGTAAATTTAGAGATAACTGAAAGATCTACTTATATAAATTTCTTAAATGTAGATTAGTTGAAAGCGTAAGTCAATTGAAGCTAGACCACCATGGAAAACCTGGAAGCACTGGACGGCTGTTTCATCCTATTGTGGGATTCCTCGGCAGTGCACATCCACGACCTTGCCTCGCGAGATTCGAACACGAGTCGAGGTCGTGGATGTGCACTGCCGAGGAATCCCACAATAGGATGAAACAGCCGTCCAGTGCTTCCAGGTTTTCCATGGTGGTCTAGCTTCAATTGACTCACGTTTTCAACTATGAAAATATTAAAACTCCACAAAACCCCCTTCTGATAGTAAATGTAGATTAGTTTAGTGAATTCACTAGATCTTCCGACATTTATAAAAGTATATAATAATTATACAGCTAGTAGTATACTGTTTGAATGAAATATCGAAAATAAGAAATTTTATTCTTTACATAAAATATGTAATACTACTAACAAATGACATAGAAATATATTGATATACAATAAAATTTTTTATTGAACTTTAAGTTAAATGGTAAAATTAAAAAAGGTATCTCATTATTTAATCATGTTTCACTTTTAACACGTAGAAAAATACGTGTGACACATAAGGTTAGCGTTTTTTGAAAGAGTTAGTTTTTTACGGGATGAGGTCGTTAACATCATGCCCAATACTCCTCCTTTATCAGGGCTTGGGACCGGCAGTAACTCTAGAAAAGCTGCAGGAGGAGTTTGTGACACAT